AAGTCTATCTATCTATTATGTTGATCCCTGGCATGTTTTATGTTAATCTTTTATTTGTTTATTTCTTTTTATTATATATTCATATATATTTTATATGTTATCCTTTACTTATTTGTTTCTACTTATGGCTGTTTAATTATTTGGATCATTGTATTATTAAATTATTAGAATTTAAAAACTGATTGATTGATATTGTTGGATTCTATTATACTGATATTTTAAGTTATTTTAGGTTTATTGACGTAGTACTGTAAGTTTCTCCTTTGCACTCAGAGGATGACGTGAGGGGGTTGTAATCTGCAACTAAACCACTAGATGCCACAAAGTCCTACACACAAAAAATGATTGTTTAATTATGAGAATCAAGTAGAAATATTTTGAGAAAACCTGAAGAAATATGTAAGTTTATGTTTCTTTAGACCAGTCACACCACATTTAGTAACTTCTGCTGCCTGCCTTCTACTGGATGGACAGATTTAGATTTTTCTAAATAAAACATAGTGGGAAAACATCTGCACACGATTTTAGCATTATTTTAAAGTATGAAGAAAATCCATGAGAGGGATAAATTCTAGTTTCCACTTGAATTTGTTTACACAGCACATTCTTATGTGTGAGACTTCACTTCTGCCATGTTCAGGGCCTGTGCATACAACATTTATATATCAATAGAGACCTTTTAGTGATGGGATAATCAACTTTATTTGATTAGTTCATGAATTATTGAGGATTTCATGACTTTCTGATGGTCTCAGTGTTGAGCAAGATTTCCCTTTTATACAAAGCCTGTTGAAATGAGGAAATAAATATTTTATTTGCATACAGAAAATATAAAACACCTCTGAATTCACATTATGATGAAAAGTAACAGCAATCCCGAACGAACACAGGAGCATAAATATGACTTGAGCCCAAACATACGAGATAAACATTCACAATTGATCTGATTACTTTTATGAAACACATGCTGCTGTAAACACATTTAAATGTCAGGAATTTCCATATTTTCCCCTAAAGTTTCAGATAGTAAGTCTATTGTTGGAAGAACATGTCAGTAGGACATGAAAGATCCATGAAACACCGACTATCATCTCTTTAATCGTCACTACGCTGCTGGTTTTGACACAACCGTTCCGTTTGCAGGTGAGGTTGGCGGCGAGGGGCTCTTGAGGCGTAACGGCTCCCCAGGCACCACCAAGGCAACGATGTTCTCCTTCTTGGACAACCAGAACGCCGGGTAAAGGGGCTCCAGGAAATCTGACTTGTACTCGTGGATGAGCGTCATGGAGTCATCCACGCCGTAGAAAGCCAGGAGGCCTCTGCTGTAGTCCACGTAGACCCCGATACGAGTGAACTTCTCCACGTTCAGGGGGGTCTCCACGTCGCTGTGCCAGGCGGAGAAGGTGCGGCCGTTCCACTGGACGCACCAGGAGAAGTTGTTTCCCGTGATGCAGCTGTTGCTCTTGCTACCCTTGCGGTCGATGCTCTTGTAGGTCAGACCCACGTGCGTTCCCTCGCCGCTGATGTCCGCCTCAAAGTAGTGCCGCCCCAGATAGAAGCTCTCTGTCGCCAGAACCTGGCGCCAGTTCTCAAAGCGCTCAGGTAGGTCTGGGTACGGATGCTGCCAGGGTGTGGTGTTAGTCACCTTCCTGTTTTCCTCCATCAGCCGCAGGAACTTGTGAGCGGTGTCGGCGTCGAAACTCACGTGGGCGGCATCTGGGAGAGGATTGTGAAAACGTTAGTTAGCTCATGTTGTAAGAGTGTTATATAAGAGTCAGCAATACAAATACCACTGAGGTCACTGAGGTCACGTTGTTGTTTTTATACATTTTATTCCACTATATTAATCTGACAGCTATGGAAGCCCTTTTCTGCCAATGTGATGGGAAAAAAACATTCTGGAAGTCATTGTAATGAGAAATCTTTTGAGATATTAAAATAGTAAAGAATTGTATAAAAAGTTCCCTAAACAGGAAATGATCTGCTCATAATTCATCCAAATCTCTGGTTTTACACAAACTTCCTGCAGTTCACTGTTTGGGTTCATTGTACAGTTTAAATATAATATCCATAAAATATGTCACTGAGTCAGTTTAATAAATGATAGAAAAGGGGCCCCTTGAGGAAAAAGGTTGGGTGCTATAAACTACTCAGATGGTTTCAATAAAATAATTATTGGAGGTCCAAACACGTAAAAATTAACCAATTTAGATAAAAGTCTGCTTTGTTTCTTTCCTGCTTAATACCTTAACAGAGAGTAGCTTTTAGAGAGCAGTGAAATAAAGACAAAGAACTTTAACTGCTTCTGTTTCCTGTGGGTTTTAGAAGTTACGGCACAGACAGCCCACTATTTTCTCCAATAAACAACAAAACTGACTCAAGATATTCACGATAAAGCAGATCTTAAATGTTCCAAAAATGACAATAACAGCAGAGTATCTCAGCCCACATTCAAATATATAAAACACTTACACTTGAGGAAGTCGTCATGCGTCACTGGATTGGGTATAGACATGTTCTGTTTTGCTGCAACAATTTCATGAACCGTCGTCTTTATTCCCATTTTGTCTGCAATTGGAAGGAAGTAAATAGTTTATTCTAATAAACTTTGTCTTCACCTGGCACGAACATCACAAAGAATCAAGTATTTGTCATCTGTCAGCTTCTGCGTGACACACACAAAAGCGGTGACTCATGAAGCACACAGGTGGTTTGTAAATGTGAGCGCTCTCATTAGCCACCGCTGCGTACCTGAGCTCCTCAGCTGTGACACACAGGCTGGAAATTCTTTACATGTGTGAACACGCCTGAGCAGACCGACTATCTGTCCATCTGTGACTTTGTGCCAGAGCGTAGTTTCACTTGTGTATATTGTTTTCTTTTTTTCTTACCATTCTTGCATGTCTCTTTAACTTTCTCTATGTAAGAGGACACGAGCATGTCGCACAGCTCCTGCGTGGAGTCGACGATCACGCGGCTGAAGGAATTCAGACAGTCCATCAGGCCGATGTAGACCCCGGGCAGAGAGATATCAGTGGCTTCTTTCTTCCACTCTAAATACTCCTGCAGGACAAACACATGGAGGAGTAAGAACATGAGGACAGTCTGACTTTGTACCTGAGAAACAACCTGGATCCTGCCGCCGTTACCTGTAAGAAATCCACATCATTCTTGTTCTTCGACAGCTTCTCCACCTGCGCCTGCGTCTTCTTCAGCTCAGTGCACCTCTGCTCCAGGTGGACCCGGATGCCGTCGGCCTGCCTCAGCGCCTGCTTCTCCTCGCCCTCCAGGATCTCTGTCACCTCCCGCTTCGCCCTCTCCACCACCGCCTGCAGCTCCTCGAACTGGCTCTCGATCACCATCCGCACCTCCATCACCGAGTTCTGTGGAAGTCATGCTTTTAGTTTTCAGATCGTATCTCATATGACGATATGAGCATTTTTTTACATTCTGAGAGAGGACATGCAGTGTTATCCATCACAGAATCACACAAAGATCCATCCTGAGGAAGAGGCAGCTACAAGTGGCAAAAATACCCGGTTTGTTCAACAAAATTGGCGGCTGCTAAAGATGCATAGATGCTGTTAGCCAGGGACGTGTCCAGACCTTTTTAGATTGCTGTGGCACAAGAGGGCCACTGACTGGTCGCATGAAGTATGTGTCTCAGCTTTCTATTCATTCCCAATGTAAATATTCAAATACACAAACAAACTTACACCACATGCAAAGTACTGCAAGCTTTTTGCCCGAAAACTGCATGGGATTAGAATTAAGTGGAGATGCTCATTCAGATATCTTGAGGTCAGAGGTCAAGGGATTCCTACGAACACGGCCATGATAGTTTTTCCATCGCCAACATTTAGCCTAACTTTAGAGCATTATTTAAAGCATGACATGGTTGCTACCAATGGATGCGTTGGGTCGTCTAGTTCCCCATGCAACCATATGATCTTCACTCTTTAAAACGGAGCAAAAGCCTCTGAAAGTCGGTTCGGAGTAGAAGAGTGGCAGAGTGCTGCTAGCACAAGTTATATCTGAACTGAAAAAAGAGAAAAAAAGATGTTTTCACTCTTCTACAGTTCATTGATCTGATTGGTTGAAGTTTGTTAGTAACAGACGGTAGTAGCCAGACTAGTTTTT